AGTCAGCGATTATTCCTTTTTATGCACGTTATGACGGCTTCCCGTACAATTTTGAGTAGGAAAATTATTAATACTAATTAAATAGATAGGCACAACTGAATTTGGGATAGCAGCATAAGTGGAACAGTAAAACCAACAGAATAATACAATCAATACCGTAAATGAAGCGGGGTCATTACTTAAAGGTAGTTCACGCGCCGCTTCCCTAACGTCTGCCAAAGGTTCAAGAAAAAAAGTATGATGCGTACTAAGAAGAGCACCGGAGTTCTGGTACCAAAGCTGCATCAGTTTTCATCGGTCAAAGAGGGCTTAAGTTAATAGAATTTTCCAATGGGTAAAAGATTGCAAAATTCTAGCATACACAAACAATATTTATGATGTAAAACAGAAACTTCTAATTCCAATAAGCCCAAAAAAGTCATACTAAAACATTAACAAATAAAGAAATCCAAAAAAAGGAGGTTGGCACCATAACTCCAAAAGTCCATGTGATAAATAGTTATTTTATTAACAATAAGCATCAGACAACACGCTTATACAATTAATTTTACCCAGTAAATAGTTCTCGAACTAAGATCACCTCTCCAAGACCCTTTTTCTTCAAGAAAACCCCCATTCGTATGCCGCTCAGTTATTCTCACCGAATATTCGTCGATACATATGCGACATGCAATTGCACTAAACCACTAAACCCCCTTCCAAGCACCCAAAGAAAGGAAAAAAAGATAAACTTTGATGTGGCAATGGTTTTGCATGAAGTGAAATCAACAGTACTAAACAATCGAAGAATATTAGAATAAAATTCAAGAACTCTCCAACCCAAAAATAAATAAATTAATAGACACGGAATTTATTGTTGAATATAGGCAGATACATTTGGAGACGGCGCCAAGATGGACTCAAATATCCATGAAGAGGATGAAGCAGATGACTCCTTGGACCCAAAAAGATCAGAAGTGAATGAAGAAGAAGAACCAGATTGCTTTCTTTTGTCAGAAGTGTATGATCGCTCCTAGGTAGTTAATGGCGGAAATGTACATATACTAAAACATGGTATGATGATAGTGGGAAACGTGGGAAAAAATATAAGAGTGGTTGTACGGTGAATTAAGAGATAGTGGGAATATTTTAACTTTAAATTTGATTGGTGATAAGGTGGTTATTATCCACTACATTTTATGTATTAAAATAAATACAAAAATCTAGAAAAAAGAATGAGAAGTTTAGAAGCCATTGAGAGGGTTTCTGCTAAAATTTCCTTCCTGAATACATATAGATATAGACTAGTGTAAATACTCGTGCTACGCACGGTGCTAACATTATTAAAAAAATGAAAATAAAGGGGTGAATTAAAAAAGGTTAAAAAATTGTACCAACACAATCAATAATTTTTATATTTGTTTTAAATGTAATGATGTGATACATTGTATGAGAATTGTTAACCAAATAAATACAATAGTTAAAGAAGAAATAGCATCAATGGTCAGATATACAATTGTATTATAATCAAATTAAAATTAAGTACCAATAGAATTGTTGTTAACACCCATAGTTAATACAGTAATTTCTATATTAATATATTTTGGTACATGTAGTAATTTGAAATACATGGCTAAACCACTAACATGCATGTGGCTAGTAGCTTGTTTTCGTATATTATTGTCAGGGTATATATTTTTTAAAATTTTAAATTTGAAAGGTTGAAAAATAAATTTTGAAGGTTAACTAATATATTTCTTTTATTCCATGTGTTGGAAATGAATTAGTTATATTAGTTACATGGAAAAAGGTTAAAAATTCAAAAAAAAAGTACCATTTTAGTATCTAATCTATATTGTATTTATGTACCTTATCTAAACCCTTAACATATATTAAAAAATTTGAACAAAGCTCAAATAAAAAATATCTAAAGAAATACTAAAAGAACAGCAAGCATCAAATGTTACCCTTTCCTGCCTCTCATGCAATACATATAGATGTAAAAATATATTTCATTAATTTTTTATCCGGACTAAAACTATTCATTAATGTTTATGCTCGGACTTCAAGGACATATTCGTAACTATCGTTGAAAATATATATTACATAAGAATATATGTTTGAAAATTTTGAAAATTAAATATTGTAGCCTTGGGTGCAGAAGATATAAACACTAGGCAACGATTTAATCTTTAACTAAAATGAAAAAATTTTAATTGGTTGTAGTGTTTTAAAGGAGGGATTGATGTCTTCATAATCTGAACTGAAGCGCCTTCTCGTTTCTTGAAGTGATAGGTAATAAGGAAGAAGTATGTATCTATACTCCTCGTAAAGTTGAACTATAACTATAAATAACATAGTTAAATTTGGACGAAAATGCATTTAAAAAATTGCTGAATTTGTTACATATTCTTTTTCTTTTCTTCATATGCATTTTAAGATGCTAATATTTCCAATCATTGTGTTTGCAACCATGCGTCAACCGTTTTAAGTTATAAAAGCTGTCTGTTGCGTCAACCATGCATTTTCATTTTTAAATGTTTTTCTTACTCTCTCGTTAGTTTTTATAGTTTCCTTATTAGATGATCAAGAAACGTGCGGAAAATGTGGGAAAAATGTAAGCATGATTATAGGATTTGTAGTATATTCAATAACTTGATACTCAAATCACCGATGAGGTAAAGTTTGCCTAAATAAACTTTATAGTGCCCTAATTCCTTGGAAAAAAAAGTGCTAAATAGTCCTAATTGACATCGCAAGTTATGGCAACGTGCCAGTGGCATCTAGGTCTAATTTTTTTTGGGGTAAAAATCTAGTACTAATTGGTTCTGCTGTTTCTTGATAATGTTGTATGCTTCTGAATTAAAATTATATTAAAATAGCATATGAATGAACATTTATCTTTAATTAAAGAGTAAAAAGGATTTAAAGTATAAATAAATGCAAAAGTATAAAAAGGATTTAAAGTATAAATATATTTAACGATTTATGAAGTAGATTATGGAAAAGTTTTAAATTTTAAATCTAACTGGTGATAAGGTTGGTTATACCCCACTATTTTTTATGTATTAAAATAAATACAATAATCTATAACCCGCTACTTGTTTCGTTCTTGAAATTTTTTTTTAGAGTTAAATATAGTAAAACCCCTTAACTTTACATTTAGCTGCACTTTACCCCATCAACTTTACATTCAGTTGCACATTTGTGATTTTTTTTGAAACGTAATTGTAATTTGCAAAGCTCATTTATAAGGGTGATTATAGGATTACTTTGGTGATAAATATTTCATAATTATAAAAATGTAACATTATATTAAATAACATACGAATGAGCATTTGTCTTTAATTAAGGAGTAAAAAGAATTTAAAGTATAAATAACAAACTATAAACGATTTATGAAGTAACTAGTGGGAATGTTTTAAATTTAAAATTTGATTGGTGATAGGGTTGGTTATAACCCACTACTTTTTATGTATTAAAATAAATGCAAAAATCTAAAAAAAAGAATGAAAAGTTTACAAGCCATTGAAAGGATCTCTACTAAAAACCCCTTCAGCAATACATATAGATATAGATATACATACATACATATATATATATACATACATACATACATACATATATATATATAGACGTAAAAGGTTACATTACACAAGACGACCAATAATTTGTTTCTCTGGGTAAGATACAATAGACAGCACGAATACGTGAACGTGAAGCCGTCCCATGGATTTACTTTCGGGGTTGGTTTTTGGTTGTCGGGGAGGGAAGAAGGGGGGGGGGGGGGGTTTACCACCAAACTCAAAAAGAAGCGCAGCCACATTGAAAGCTTGTAAGAGACTAAAAATCTAGAAGCCATAATGGGAATCCGAGAATGCCAGCAACTGTTGGAAAGACTTGGAACATGTCCACTTGGACTGTGATAGCTTCGTGCAACTCAGAAATTTACCAACCGCTCAGCACTCCAAAAGCACAAGGAAGCATTCCTACAGCAATCATACAGAAAGCAAACAAGGTACCGCACACTCCAGTGTGCATTATTAGCAATGCAAAAATTAAATCCCTAATATGCAAAATTCGGGAACCTCGCCCTGAGTTGCACCAAATTGGTTGGCCACTCCATATTATCACATCTCTATTGCTCGACAAGTAATCACAAAAAAAAGAAAAAAAGTTTTTCCGAGGGACTCCAAATATTGCAGAAAGTACCACTGCTTGGTGTGAGCCCGCCCAATACCCATGAAAGAATATTAGAAAGTATCAAAGGAAGTTGCTAGATCATCCATCTTGGAAGGCATAGAAATGATTGTCTCCAGGCTTTAACTTTCAGTTTAAAGAATGTGCTACATTAGCAGCATTTGCAACAGAAAAAATTTCAAGTAAGGGGTCATAGGTCATTTTAGGATTTCAATAAGAATAATCCTGCATTAAGGAGGGCCATATTGAAAATCAACCCCCGAATAAAAAGGCGCCATCATTAAATCATGAATTCAGCTATCTTGGTCCAAAATAAAATACTTCATGCTACCCTAGGATTCCAGTATTACAGCACAAGCCGGCCACCTCGAAATATATTGTGAATCTGTACGGCATGTTTGCGTCTTTGTGCAAATATACACTTCTGATCTTATACTATGATATAATATCCCAAAAATTCTATGAAGCTATCCAAAAAGACGGTGCAAAATAATGAAAATTATAACAAGCTACACAAAAAATGCACCAGCAGTACAATGTTTAAATGTGCAAGCTTTTGCTCTCATTATCACTACAATCAGCTAGTGTCAATCTCTCAATTCCTTCTCATTACTGCACTCTCAAAAAATTTTCCATCTATTTTGCTTTTCTTCTTCTTCAACAGTTGAACTTACCATCCTCTATGAACTCATCAAGCAGAGTACAATTGAGGTACAACAGATTTGGATCTATTAATTGTCAGAAGATAAACTTTCCATGCAATTCCCAAAAGAAATTGCAGATAAATTGAACTTTTTTGTCGACTTTTTTTAAGAATCCCATTATTAACAATCTACTAGGTCATTCCACTTCATTGTGCCATACAAGTAGCTATAGGAGAGAAGCTGAGTTCACTTGCAACAGTGTAGAGAAGGAAAAAACAAACTGGGAAAGGCAAACCTGCCTTTCCGCAAATTTTCAATAAAGATTACAACAAATCTTTTGACCATTCTATTAAATATTCTTTGTGGCTCGAAATCCATCTATACAACTCTAAACCAAAAACAGGTACAAGGTCAAAGTATCACCAGATCACAGGCAGCATTAAACTTCAAGTAGCCACTGGCAGAGTCGAGCTAATGAAGTATGAGTTTTGAATACGTGGCAAAAGCATAACCTATATCTCTCATTTCTAACAAGGCCATTTCCAATAGTTATGCTCCTTATAGCAGATATTCTTACCTTTCCATTTGGTCCACTTCACAAGATCACGTTCACTTTTAATGTAGGAATGTCTCAATACCGACAGTAACTGAAACAGCTAGCAAACAAAAATACGAGCTGCATCAATTATTCTTTCTTAAATCTTTAAATTTTACCTTTCAGTATTCCGTGGCTATGACTGATAGCCAGGAACTGATCAGTTTTTCGTGTTTCTTTTTTTTCCTACTATAGCATCAGATTTGAAAATAGCTACAAGCAGTACAAGCATCCACAACCATAAAAAATCTTTAATATGTAAAAGTTCCAAAAGATCCTAGTTAGAAAAAACTTAAGACAGCACCAACCTAAACGTGAAACTTCCATACCCTTCAATACCACAACTCAACTCAACCTAATTTGTCACTGTTTGATATATGCTAAAACAAAAATTCGAATTGTATGTTCATCTCATACATTCATTATCAAAACAGTCCTGTAAGTTCCTTTGGACGATTCACTCATCAGCACAGTTGCAAAAGTCATAATAGCATTAAACTAGATGAAGAGCTTCTATAATATATTATTTTATATTACCAAGGATAGGATGCCGAGTGATTTTGTTTCAGTTTAAATGGTATGGAGAAAAGAGACAAGCATACTTTTGGAGGACAGAGACCCTCTTTTCTAAATATTTGAATAGTAGAAGCAAAACAATAAAAGACGTGAAATTGGGGGAAAAAAAAACCTCAGATAGTTCTTCCTTTTTCACGTAAGAAAGCAAAGCTTAAGTCTCCCTAGAATCAAAGAAGATCATAAAATCTTCAGCAGGTTACAACTTTCCTAATAATTAATGAAGTCAGGGAAGCATATCCCATTTTGATTTTTAGAGGATTTCTAAGGTCAATAAGTAACATGTAGTAGTAATTTCCAAAAAGTGGTAATCATTTAAATCTTCCACCAATACAATTTCAGCATCTAAAATGTCAAAAAGCTGATAGCACTGCCAAATTTAAGCTAACCAATTAATTACACACACTATACCCAAAGATTGTTTTACTGTTTCCTTTTAGAGAATCAGGCGCAGTCTATAAAACTGGGTAGACACAGCAAAATAGTGAACTCACTAATTCAAGTTGTTCAATTATGCAAACTATCCAAAGTTAATTAGCCACAGAATGTCTAGCTATAGAAGATTGCCTTACTTGATTTTATTACAGCATTTCCCCACTTGAAGTGAAGTCCATCCTTGAATAGTCAACAAAAAGTAGCAAAAAGACTTCAATCCTCAGAACCAAACCCTCTATACAAAAAGAAACTCATATTGGACCAGCTTATTTCACTAAGAACAATTACTGATTACCAAAGGCGACCCAAAATTTTCTGAAAATTGCAAAAAGACATTCTGCTAAATCTGCTCACCCACATTTTCAAGAATTGCCTATTCCCAGCTGCAAGAACATACAAAGAAGATCCATGGAAGTTTGAAACATTTTATTAAACAAAATCTACTTTCAAATTTTGTTGCAGAATACCGTCAAAAACAAGCTAATGGAATCACAGTGTGTGTCGCCAGACAAAACAATTGGAGATCCAAGCCACAATTAAGCTTTTAGGGAAAAATTTTGGAGGCACCAAGCAATGTAACAAAACTCCACAACATGAGAAATACCTCAAACCTGGAAACCCCAATGGAGAAGCAGTAATCGATGCCCAAGATCCATTAAAGAAAGCTCATCCCGTAGCTTCACTTTAAGCCCCAACTTTTTATGACAAAGAAAATGCATAGAACATAAGAGTTTCTCCAAATGATATCAAGATATAAGTACAAAAGTTGAAGGTTTCACCATCTGCACTATACGCTGAATATAATAGAACAGAAGCCTATTATGTGTTTTAATCATAATTTTCTTTTTACAAAATTCATACAAACTATGGAATATATGCTGTCTCAGTGAAAGGGCGTACAAGGAAGTTAAGGTTGCAAATGCCTCACCAGACAGTGTGTAGTCACATAGACATGCAACATAATTATTACTTTTTTTGGTTTCTTCACTACCCACGTAGATATGCAATATAATTATTTTCCTCCATCTTAACAGGGCCAAGGCAGTACAGAATTAAAAGTACCCTTTGTAAATAAAAAGAATGTCCCAAACTGTTTACGTCCCATGTTGTGTCCACAACTAGAAACCTTTTGTAATACAGAAACTATCACTCAATTCTATCTTGCCTTCTGCATGATAAAAACATTTTCTTTTTTTTTTTTAAGAATACCTAAAGTTAGACATTACCAGCCACATGAAGACAAACTGTACACTTAAGTCATTGCCCGATAAAGCTCAACTCAAGACCTCCTGTACCCCATTCTCCACAATGGTAAATTAAAATACCAGCTTGAAGATTATAAAAGACTAAGAGAGACCGTCAGATTGGTATCTCATTAAATCCCTCACAGAAAACATGGGCCATACTAGGTAAGCAGCCATCACAGGTAGATAGCATGGTTGGGTCTTAATTAATGCTGACAGGTACATAATCCAATGCTGCCATTATTTCTGCCAGGTTAATCCTACTTATTGCCCTTAATTCTGATGGGTCCACAATCTTTAAGCACTCCCCTCACCCCCCCCCCCTCCGGGGCAACGAAAAAAGGGAAAAAAATATTTGACTTCCTCAGAAACATCATAGAATATTGTACCTGACAAATTTTACGCATACATGCCCAATACAATTTACATGGTAGAGAAAAGATTGCAAATTCTCTCTCAGTCAAATAAGGAATGAATTAAGTGCATTAATCAACATGCACGATGAAAGGCTAATCAAAGTGGATAATTCGAATTATGACCAAAAGGTACATGTTGGACTGTAGACCCAACACACGTGTAGAGAAGTGGTAATGAAATCTTTTTTCCCTTCAAATTGTTGTTCACATCATTACTGTTAATTGAAAAGTTATTACTGTTATTTTATTTCCTTCGTTTATTAGTCCTTTTTGGTAAATGCTCAAACTTATACGCCAGTTTCCTTCCAAAGTATCTATACTTACTCCACTCTTGACATGCAATTGTCCCGTGTGCTCACAATGGAATAAATTCTTAAAACAGACTTCAATGTCTCGAGGGAGGACTCACGTGGAATTAAGGTCCTAACAACTACTTTACCATCGATTTGCCGGTGCAAAAGATTGTCTTAAATCGTCCACTTTTCTGGAACTTGAATAGCAAAAGCTTTAGAATCTTCTTCTTAACAGTTGTCAAGAAGAAACTTGAAATAGCACTAGCGAGGCAGCAATTGAACCAGAAACACAACTCAAAAAAAAAAGAAACACAAATAGATAAACTCTTTGTGTTGTTAAAATCCTTACCATCAGAAAAAAGGCCCGTAAACCATTCTGCAGAACTGTCATCCTTTTTTTCTCTTCTTCTTCTCCCAAAAAAGATATGTTGTATTGAAAAGATCTATTATAGGAAAAAAAATTCAACCACCAAAAAGATAAAAGAATGGAGAAACTTTAGAACTTGACTTCATAAATTAACAAAAAAGAAAAAGAAAAAGAAAAAAAGAGATACTGCTATAGGATAGAGAATGAGACCTTTATAGAAAAAAAATAAAAAAGATTATTAAACTAATGAAATTCTAATAGCACCGTACTGAACAAGTCATCTCTCCAGGTAAGATCAGATTATAACTTTGACATATGATGGCCTGGCCATTCTATAAATCTATATCATCTTCAAAAGGCTAGCAGATTTAATTAAAAAAGCAATTAGTAATTATGTCAATCTGAAAAGAATCTAAAACACAAAATACTAAACTAATCCCAAGACAGGTGTCATATGCCAGGCATTATACCAACACTGCGTGGTTGTCACATGTTGGGCTTTGACAATAATCACAGATGAAAATAGTTTGTCAATCTATACTATAATAAAAAAATTTTGGAAGAAGTTTGCCAGATATTCTTGCACCCTTGGATACAGGTGGAACGTACGTAGGTAAATTAGTGTGCTAAATGGTTTAGAACCTTCCAGAAGTTTATGATATCCTCTGTATTGAGCTTATAGTATTCCATTGCCAGATATCCTTCATTTATTTCACAGGGGTCAAAATTTGTTGAGTTTGTTACAAATTATCATGTTCCAAAAATAAATTTTGCTCCATTATTAACTTTATAAACAAATTGTTCTAAAATAGCTTAAATCAATCACCATCTTTTAAATTTGATTACCTGACATCTATCACACGACTTAGGGTAGCTAAAATCTTATGAATGTGTGGTTGGTCCCCATGCTTAAAACTTTTTCTATAAAAGAGCTATTGTGCAAGGCAACTAGAAATTGATTAGCTTGATGCCCCTTGTAACGGGAAATAAGGCAATGATACAGGAACGTATTAGCAAATTCAAAAACCAATATAAGAAGTCTGTTTCACTTAAAGCATTTTTCATCGGAAAAGGATATCTTAAAAGAAGTTGGAACCTCCATGATCTGAATATGCCACGTGATGATTAGAATTTTAACCATGTCTGAAATTGTGTAGTTATCATATTTGACATGATCCTGAGCCAGAACCATTGGTATACCTTAGACCTAGGAACCTCCATTATTCACTCTAATGCACATCCTTAGTTTGGTGCAAATATGTGCATTCAATTAAATGTGATCAATCAACCAATTATACTTGCTAGTCATTGTAATTGCATTTAAACAGAGAAATGCTGCCTAGCCACAAAAATTAGCCAATGTAAACTTCTTCAAGTTTAATGGAGCTTTCTCAATAATTAGTATACTTTCATTTGTACTCCGCATCTTTTGCAGCGGTTCTTTTATCAACTGAGACTTAATTTACCGAGCAGAAGAAGACAAATAAAAGCAAAAGTTCAAACAACCAAAATTCCCAGTTGCTCTCCATCATGTTTCAGCCAATATTTCTAAGAGAGTCTGCATCCACTTAAATGTAATCCTTCCTCAAGCTATTGGGTACAATATAATTCAAGTGCTGCATAAATTTCAGAACAGCATGACCTATATGAGAACACATTTAGTTGCTACATGACCCTGCCTATCAAAATGGCTTGACATCTCTTCCCTTTCTGGCTTATTTAATTTCTCAAAACCATAGAAGGGCTCCTCTAGTGCTTAGGATTTCATCTAAAATTGGTTATATTGACCAAAAACTCTTCAAAGATGTTCTTGTAATGTTTCTAAATTTCTCCACTTCAGATCGAGTCACTATACCAGAAGCAACATTATCATTATCATGCAATACATTAATCCAGTCCATGGGGTAGATATATATTTCATTTCCCAGCCAAAACATTAATAATGTTCCACTGCAATATTAAGAGCTCTGTATACCAAGAGAAAAGTCGGACGGAACTGAAACCGCGACTGTAAGATTTATGGTGGAACCTCAAATGCACCTAGAATACCCTCTCTAGGTATTGTTAATTTAACCAGTATGACAGTTTTACAGTTTCTTAAGCTTCTTTTATAAGTTGCAAATTCTTAATCTTAACTAGAAAGATCAGTATTTCACCAACATAACCATAAACCACTGAAAGACATGAAAATACATCTCATTCTGACATATTGCACATATATTGTGGTTATTTGCACACAAAAGAGCAACAGCTCTAAGTTATAGAATTTCCCTTCCCCTGATTTAAAAGCTAAATACTGAAAAGAATGACCATACACACTACCAACGTCAGGAAAAAGTATGAAGGAGAATGCAAAGCATTGAATGAAAAGGAAGAAAAAAGAGCAACTGTAAACCTCAGACAGGTTGAGATAGAGTTGAACAAAATCGAAGTACGAATCATCTAGGAACTAAATAGCAAGCGAAACTAAGGCGGAAAAAACAAAGAGTGGGGGTTAGAGAGGATCATCTAACAGGCTGACATGTATCAAAAAGGCATTTTTACTGTTGTTATGACTGACAAAAAGGACACGTATCTTCATAATTATTTAAGACTTCTAATGATTGAAGTAGCCAATAGTGATTTTTCATAATTATATAAGACTTCTAAAGTCCAATTAGTTGAAGTAGCCAATAGTGATTTTTATAGTGCCAAACACCAAGAGAAAGCCTAAAGAGAACAACCGCCTGCAAAAGAACTAGCTCAAAAACTAAAAAATTAGAAGAACGAAAGAATTATTTTAATGAGCTGCCAACTGTATTCATCAACACATGATACATTTTTTCTTATCCAAAATCTCTCCATATCAGTTAAGACAGAATTAAAAATTAAGATTTCATTTGCAAGGTGCTAAAAAAGGGAGTTCCATCTTCAGCATTACAATATCGAACAAAGGTACAGATGTCCCAAGAAATCAATATAACCATTTACAGCACCCCTAGCAGGAAGCTCAACAACAGTTACAGTAACCATGGAAAGACATAAACATAGGCTCCAAATGTCACTACTGCTTGAAGGATATAAGTAGACAAAGACTGCCTAGACAGAGTTAAATACCCAAACCATGCAGGAAATAAAATTAACTACCAAAACTGCTTTCGGATCCAAAATATGAAAAAACTATCTCCAGTAACAAAGCATAAACTCAAGGTGCCAAACTCATATAAACCATTCCATAACCAGAAATAAAACAAAGAAAGATGTATCACCTAGATTGCTACACACTAATTTCGTTCAAGAAAGCTACAACTCAAGACTCCCACATCCCACATACCAATGGGAGGCTGGGTTTCAAGGCTTCTTGCCACGACCCTCTTGACCAAAGTTTCTTTTCTTGTTTCCCAATTCACGTCCAGCACGATCATTTGAAGCCCTACAAGATTAAACAAAAAGTAGTTTACTCACTTCTTATTCCACATCCAGCACCGTTACATTTTTATACTAGTTTACTCACTTAAATTTCTTCTTATTCTGCAGCTTGATGCTCATAACCATGTCGAGAGACATCTTCTGGTGCTCTCTTGATTGTGAATGCCTGTCTAAGCCTTCCACAGTTTCACAATCCACTTTGCATATGCGACACCATCCCATGCTCATATTTTTCCTCTTTCTTGAGTTATCAAAGGTACTCATGTCGCCCTGAAAAACCAAGTCATAGCGCTCAACAAAGCCAGAGGCATAGTGTAGTACTCTTCTACCATTACTTTCCAAACAAAACCAATATACTAAGAGCAAAAAGATCAGCCTTGGGAAAACAATACACAGAGACTTACAGCATAAGGCCCATCACTTGGAAATCCCTGGAGTGAAAAACTGCCCCTAGAACCAGGCTCACCAAGTTGTTGACCACCTGGTTTATCTCCTGCAAATGGTTCACCATACTGGAAGTTATGCGGGAGATTTGTGGGCCCAGAAATCTCTCCCATCTGAGTGTGACCAGGAAAGGGACCAAAATTACTTGTTGAATTCCCAGGACCCAAAAGCTCACCCCTCCGGAAATGGCTAGGTGGGATATCTTGACCAAACAGATCAGTTCTCCTGATATGATCTTGAGGACCGGGAACCCTATGCTCACCATATCTCAAAGCCTCTGGGCCTTCATGGTCACCTCTTTGCTGATAGCCTGGCAGAGGGAGAAATCTGGTTTCAAGAATTGGATTACCTTGAGGATCTAAAGGCAGATTCCGTCTGGATCCTTCACCATGTGAGTGTGCTTTCATGCCGAGGTATTCCCTATCAGGACTTCTCGGAACCAAATGTTCCACATCATGCCTAGCCATTCCAGGACCTGGGCCAATAGCATATCAATTAGTATAACCAGTTTCCACCCTTCTTCAGTAGTAATTATATCATGAAAGGAAACAGTATTCTGTCTATATCACCAAAAAAATCCATACCACCAGAAGGATGAAATGGAGGCAGCATTCTAGACGCAGGCCCACCTCCGGCAGAATCCAATGTTGGCCGAGCATCATAGTTCAACCCATGAGGTCCCCTGTCAAGAGGCCTTGATCCTGCATTGATACCATAACCATCAAGAGTCACAATAAGCAGAAAAGCCAAGACCACCAAGCCAAATGAATCTACGAATGAAAAGGTAGCAAAATAATGCACCTAGATCCCGAGGCCAAGTAGGTTCCCTTGTAAAAGGGTTCAAATGCTCCCCAGGCAAAGCCTTGAACCTGTCATCCTGTGACCCAAGTGAAGATTTTTCAAGCCCCAGCTTTCCATTCATCCGCAAAGCATTTGGTTCAACTCCAGAAGGATGCCCTAGAGGACCTCTCTCAAAAGATCCAGGTATCTTTGTGTGTTCTCCATCAAAGTGGCTCTGCCTCTGCTTCGGTAACATTTCAGTTTCTGCTGGACCATGCTGAGGGGCTCTTCCCATTATCCCACCTCGAGGATCAGCTGAACCAGGAGGTAAAGCAGTCAAGGCAGGCCCCTGAGGAGGACCAAAAGGAACAGGTGCCCAACCAAATGTGGCTGTAGAACCTAAAGCAGGGATCCCTCCAGGGAGTACATCATGAGGTTGTCTAAGCAATGGTGACTGGAATTGCTCATTTGAGTTCAACGGTTGCCTAGGTTGAGGCAAAAGTCCAGATCCTTGAGGCCTCCCTGGCATAGCTGGATATCCAGGAAGTTGTGTACGAGATGGAGGTCCAACAGGAGGTCCCGATTGCAATATCGGAGGTCCAGCAGACTTTTGCTGATTAACAGGCCCAGTACTAGCCTGCAAGCTCTCATCCCCAGCTTTTACAAATATTGCCTTCTGATCCTTGTGAGGTTCTACATCATCAGTCCGGACATCACCAATAGTATCTCGCTGTTTTGCTACTTCATTTGACTTTACATCAGAAGAATGCTCTAAGGAGTACCCAACACGCTCTTCCTTCAAAGGTAACTTGGTTAAAGGCTGACCAGAACCATCTATTCCTCCATGTAATTCACTGCCAGCATCCCTGACAAGAGATTCACTCTTTCTAGAATTTTCAGTGCTTTCTCTGGCTGCATCTTGCTCATAACTTATCCCTACATCAGATTTCAGAGGCTTCATTTCAACAGAATCAACTCTAGAAGCATTTGCAACCTTCTCAGCATCATTCTGAGAAGGCAACCCTGCTTCAAACACAACATTTGTTTTATCAGAAACACCGTCACCCTGCCTCAGCAGCACTCCGGATGTGGAAGTCATCCCAGACTGAAGAATTTGCTGATCAGAAGCTGTCAGCAGCTGGTTATTGGTCTTATTTGCGTAATTCTGATTTGGAGATTGTTGGTACGGGCCAAATTGACCAGGCCTGATTTGAGCTCCAGAAATAAAACCACTGGAAGACTGTTGAAAAGGCTGAGGCTGAGATGGTGCACCTTGATGTGGCATCAGAGGTCTTCCGACATAGTTATGAGGTTGCTGAGATTGTACAACAGAAGCATTTGCAACATTTTGCTGCAACTGGGGATAGGCATTAAAACTTTGCTGCATCATAGGAGGTGGGCCTTGTGGGTGTAGCTGAGACTGCTGTTGTACAAGATTGTGATGACTCAACTGACCCTGAGCAGAGTTAGAAAAAGGCTGTTGTTGTGCATATTGCTGAGGCAACCCATGCTGATTTGAGTGAATAACAGGGTGCTGTTGATTAGGGTGGCTCAGCTGTGGAGGTTGAGGATGGAACTGCTGCTGCTGAGTAGTAGTCATGCTAGAAACTTGAACTTGAGATTGAAACTGAGCTTGTTGCTGATTAAGCACTGGAACCTGTGATGGAGGACGCATCAATGGTGGTTGGGGAAAAACCTGACCTTGCATTTGACCAGAGGGTAAAGAAACACTGGCAGGATGAGCAGGAATTGGTTGTTGCTGGGGGGGCTGAGGCTGCAAATAGGATTGATATCCAGAAACAGCATGCCCAGAGGAAGGCAAAGGCTGGGGCTGGGCACTTGGAACAGTAGGTTGATTGGGAAGTGAAGGCCGCAAATGTGGTTGAAGCTGTGGTTGGGGCTGGACTTGTGGTTGAGGTTGGGGCTGGAGCTGTGGATGTGGTTGAGATTGAGGTTGAGGTTGAGGTTGAGCTTGCGGCTGGGTCTGAGTCAGCATATGAGATTGGAGATGAACCAGAGAAGGCTGTGGATGGTGCATTGGTAGATGTGGCTGCTGATATTGAGCCTGAACATGTTGTGGCTGAGGCTGCACAGGATGAGGTTGGGGCTGGGGCTGGGCCTGGGGCTGGTTATAATGCTGGGTTTGAGGAGCTGGAAGTCCAGGAATAGAGTTAGCCTGTGCTGGAATTTGAGCATGAGATTGCACAGCAGGGTGAGGTAACTGCTGTGGATTAGCTTGAACCTGGTTCTGACCCTGTGGGGCCAAAGGTTGAGAATGAATTAAGGTAGCCCCATGCGGTTGGACCTGTGCTTGAGTCTTTATTTGAGATTGGACAGGATGGGGTTGGGGTGGAGGTTGTGCTTGAGCTATAGGTTGCCCAGGATTCAGCGGTTGAGATTGTGTTTGAGGATGAACCTGTGGTTGGGAAGAGGATGGTGGCTGCACCTGGGCAGCAGCCTGAGCATAGACCTGAATCTGGGGTTGCTGCCCAAGTACCTGTGGGGGATACTGTTGAACAGCTAACTGCTGGTACGGATAATACTGTGTATAAGCCTGCTGATAGGGGTCATAACCAGCATACTGCTGGTAGTATTGCTGATATTGTTGCTGATACCATTGATCTGTAGTTGGCACAGTAGCTGGAGCCTGAGAGTTTGCATTTGCCTGCTGATTGGAGTTCTGTCCAGGAACCAAAGGTGGAGGAGCAATATGAGAGATTTGGGCCTTAGAAGTCGGTGCTCCAGCCTGGCTGGTAGCTTGATTTTGATTTGCAGCCCCAGTGGCAGCAGTCAAACCCGAGCTGGCAACAACCTGAGCAGCATCTGCCTGTTGCACTTGATACACACCCTACAAATACAATTAGAGCTAAGAGCTTTATACCTAATCAAAGAACAACAACAATTCTTCAAAGCATGTTAATAAGCATTTGCTACATGCACTCACAGGACAACTCTGGGCATGATCATGTACTTGACGATGCACAATTTGAACTCCACATCGGTTGCAGATGACCGGGGAACTCCCAAAGCTGCAGCCAGAACAATGCAGAGTACACTCAGACAGAGGACCCTCCCATGTGCATCCACTTCTGTGATACAGACAGCGTACTTTTACTTTGCCGATATTTTCAGCAAGTGCTTTGTCTGATTCAATGAGTAGCTGCCAGTAAACAAGTTTAGCACATTAGATAACTTCTAGTGAACAAGATTTCTCAAAACCTCAACTCTTGATAACTTGTGCTCACCTTAGAATCTGATTCCGTAACCAAATATCCATCATAGGGACAGGCACGGGTATTGTTGGCAACATGCGCCAAACAAGGCTTGCAATATAGATGGGTGCACTGCGACTGAAGTGCTTCATTTGGGTAAACAAGTGTACGACAAACAGGACAAAAGTACTCCCCAGGATACTTTTGAATGTCAATTATGCACTCAATATCGAAACCCATATCAAACCAAAACTACGTCGTCAGCTCCGGCTGTGCACCAATTCAGGGATCTCAATAAGTAAGAATCAGCTTCAGCAGAGGAAAATGAGGTATGTAGCATGCTTTCTCAAGCAATACACAAGGGTCAAGGGAGCATAATCACAAGAAAGACAACATGTCAGTCAACACGAGGTATAATAAAGAACAACGTACTACAAGACTATTATTCAACATGTTAGCCTATACTGATGGATCTCGTTTTTTAACTATGCACCCCATACTGATGAATCTCATATTCACCATCTCATACAACAGATCAGCCAGCATTTGGTGAGATGCAAATCTCATACCAAGATAGCCCCTATACTGTTCAAAAACATAAATAGTTTGGAAACACCAAGAAGGCTTTCCTCCAATTTCACAATCAAAACTCGTTCAAAAATAATTTCCGAAAATTAATATGTTTAGTCAATAACGAATCCAATTTCAATCTCAAGAAAAAACTCACAGGAGCTATAATAATATAATCGATACACGCACGTTCTTATCTGACAGGGCAAATGTGGAGGCATACATGTATAAACACAATGAAAATAAATTTCCAGCTCTATCCAGTGAAAGCATCTCTCAATGAAAGATTTTAGTGATGCTCATCGGAAATTGCAAAAGCTCTTTTACTCAAAAAAACACAGAAACCAAGTATAATAAATTCTCGGATTTCAAAAGGACGCAAGCACAGTGATGATAAATTATCTCAAACAAACCCTCAATATTGACAATAAAGCCAAGTTCAATCCTCGTGCCATTTGGACACCTTACATTACCAAAATGAAATTGCTAGTAGGTTTCCTAAACACGCTTCGTCAAGAATGTGGACACTTAACATAATAAATGCGTATCATTGACGCCCCGTAATATTAGATGGCAAGTATTGAAGAGCTTTTAATAGGAAAGGATCTGCAGCAATAAAGTCCAGTCAATTTAGAATTAACTTCAGTGAGAAAAATCTAAATAGGAGAGTAGCAATTAGCAACAACGTTTAACATTCATGCAATAAAATCCTCAACAATTTAAAAGAAAAAACACCATAATTGTTATCCACCCTACATAACCCCAAAACATATTGCATGAAAAATGATCAAGGCACACATAAATGACCTTACAAACATTTCTACACATCACCAGAACAGGAAAACACATTTGTAGTAAAAGATTTTGAAGAAACCCTAATAAGCAACAATTGCATAAACCTTCACCAGCCAAAACGAGAAAAATCCACTCTAAAAATACTTCTAGCACAATTCTCACCACCAAACCCAAAACAAATATCCTTCCATATCAATCAATACATTCTAAGAAGCCGTAATATCTACAAAGTGACATTTTCAATACCACATGACCCTCTCAAAGAAACCCTAATGATCAACATATGACATAAACTTCACCAGCTAAATGAGAAAAATCCTCTCGGAAAATACTTCAGCACGATTTTCACCAACAAAACCCAAAAGAAATATCCTTCCATATCAATCAATACAACCTAACAAGCTGTAATTTTCTACAAAGTGACATTTTTACCAAAACCCTAATTTTCCATGCAAAAAAAAAGGAGGTTAATAGTAGCTAAAGAAGAAACATTTCCACGCCAATATTTTTTCCATATCTTCCATGGGAGAGAGAATGAAAGTTCAACCATTAGACAAAGCAGTATAAAGCATTTTACAGGGAGAAAAATCTGAAGAAGAAAAATGGAGACCTCAATGAAAATTAGCGAAAATCAGAGCCATATGTCTATTTAAAACACCTAATCATCTAATCCAGATTGACATAACACCCAACATTGATAAAAAGCACACACTAGCATAAGATGAACATGATTGCGATCATTTCCTCCCACGTACTTAAAACATGGAGATAGAGGTGAGAGGGAGAAGCGTGTATGTCTTTATATACGTGCATGCGTGTCTCTACACACACACACATATATATACATGCATACATATATATCTCATTATGCGTTAGAGAGAGAGAGAGAGAGAGGATAAGAATTCTCACCTAAAATCTCACGAAAACTGCTAAGACCGAGCAACTGATAATTGTAAACCCTAAACATATAATGTAGAAATAACGGTTATACTAGAGATTTCACTAAAGATGCTCCAAACAGACTTCAGCCCCAGAAGAAACGCGGAAAAAAAAAAGAGACAAAACCATATAGTACAATGCAGAGGCTACGGCAAAATTGCTAACTTATAGCTAAAAATTAAAAAAAAAAATTACAGCCAAAAATACAAAAGTTTCATAGAAAGAAAAATATGAACAACTGAACACAAGCAGAATAAAATTGCATGCATTTTTTTCGTATAAAAAATATACAAAAAAGATCAGAAATTTTTTACCTCTGAGACGAACACCGCTAAGCCGACGAGGATTGGAAACCCTAACCAGAAATCAGAACTCAAAGTTAGGGTTTCTTTAATAAATGAATTGATACGGTAGCTTATACAGGCAAGATAATCCTGGGCAGAGTTCCTAGAGCTATATTTTTTTTATTTTTTTCCTTTGATTATTAGAAAGGGATTTGAACGAGTGCGCCGCGTGAGTGAGTGAGTGAGTGAGTGAACTAAGGTGGTGAAACACTAAAGGCTTGAGGAACCTGAAATCCGAATGAAGGGCAGAGGCAAGGGGTCGTTTTATATGGGCGAAGTAACCGAGGGAAAGGAAAGCGCGTTGAGCGTTGCCCCTTTTCTTTTCTCTTGGGCCTGGATCGTTTAACAATTTAAAGACCACCCATCCATGCATTTAAACTTGGAATTCGATGGATTTTTTTCTTCTTCTCTAATCACATGTGGATATCTCCAAAAAAAAGTGTCGATGGAAATCAAAATGTTTTCAAAACTTAAACATGTTTACTCGTGACACATATTTGGAAATTCATTTTACTTTCTCTATATATGTTTTATACAAGTCCAATATAAATTTCAAATTTACTTTCTAGGTTTACGCTGGAGTTCGTTCACCGTAAAATATAACAATAATTATAGCTCTTAAGTGTGATTGATTATTTCTTCTATTAGTCAGAAAACTATATTTACTATTCGTCGATTTACTTATTGAATGCCTGATACAAACTTATAATATATATTTTTTAGGAAATATTTACGTGATTTAACAAGTGTTTGTTCAATCTAACGTTTGACATCTTACGTGAAAAAAACTAAGAATAATGTTTTTCTAACAATTTGTCCATACGAGTTCTTCATAACTCCAACAGTAATATTACAAATCACATAAGTCTTGAATATATAAGAACTTTTCTCCTTTATTGCTAATTTCTATTTGAAAGAAAAAATTAATATATGTTTTCAAAGCCATATAATGACATATAGTTCATTTTAAGTTGTCTCAAAAGGATGAGATTGTAGTATCATCATTATGAACATATGAATTTTCCCGCCATATTTTGCATGGATTTGGAATTTAGGTCACAACGTATTGGAAGGATTTTATATACCATATATTTCATATGCAAGTCCTGTTATATTTTGCTCTCTTAAAAGCGGGAAGGTTGCTGGTTTAGCTTATTGAATATCTTCTAGTTTTCATTTGATTTGTAGGAAGAATGAAGAAGTAAAAACTCAACTACTACTATCACTAACAAGTCTAATATACATCACGTTTATCATGTACGCTTTGCTGCTTAGAAACTACCCTACCAATGTGTAATTCTAATCTTTCTGACAAGAAAATAATCCGCATCTACAATCTCCTAATGAAATAACTACTAACTGCAGACCATTTCGATTGAATCATGCGGGCAGGCTAAAAACGATGACCAAACTCGTGTTACCATGCTTATGGAATTAATTAGATATCTATTTGAAAGAAAAAAATTGTTGTGTTTGGATAGTGATTGTTTTTTCAAATATTGTTTTACTTGCATCACAATTATAACTTTTAATCAATTTTTTTTAACAATCTGTTTATTTTACATACATTACATCATAAAAAATATTATAATAATAATTTTAAATAATATCTTAAATAATCTCTTATCTAATATGTACTTGACATTTAATTGTAGTGTTTGTCCTGTGAATGAATAGTAAGGATGGCAATAGGAACGATGGCCATGCAGGATTTTAAATAAGGTGAGGTAAATGAATAGTAAGGTCGTATTTACTTCTCCACTTTTAAATGGACTCCCCACTTAAAATTTTAATACTACTATATATTGTAAAATAAAGTATATAATATAATGCCATGCATGTAATATGAAATAGATAATTTGATTTTTTTATGATTCAATAATATAATCTTTTTGTTTAATTTTTTGTATTAAATGATGATCTCGTTATATAATTTGTTCTTTTTATGGCATGTAGTTTATTAAAAAAAACAATAATTGATTTTATATAATACCAAATATAGAGAAATGGATTCACAATATCAAAATGATTTCTAAACTTGATCTCACATTATATTTTTTTGCTGAAGTTTCAAGATTAATAAATTCATTATCAATGTTTTACGTATAAAAAAATAAGGTCAAACATAAAAATAGAAACAAAAACGACACGAGACAGGTAGGATAGCAGGAGCGTGACGGGACCGACAATTAGGATGTGAAATGAAAGGAGATGACTGCGTGGGAGACAGGGGAGGGGCCCTGGCTTGTTGCCATCCCTGGTGACTTGGTGAAGAAACTGCAAACAGCAACAACTTCAGCAACTAATTGATGTATTAATTAGACATCAGGTTGTCCGGATTCTTCAATAATTATTTATTAATTTAGTTTAACAGTTTTCTTATGTATTATGTTTGAGGAGCACAGCATTTTAAAATTTACTAGTAATTGATTTGAAACATGAATTGGAGAACTTAGCCTAATAAGACTCGTTTACTAGGGCTCGTTTATTTGAAAATGGTGAATAGTGATCATAAAATAAAATAATAGATGCTAAACATGGAAAAAGGTACGCAAAAAGGTTGTGGTAATGCCAACAGATTTGAAGCATATAAGACTATAATTAATGGTCAAGAAAAAAAATATATTGACAGCATACACACGGTCATACTTGGATGAATGCCATATATGTTAAATTTGAATTTTAAATCTAAATTTTACTCATGTAATATTAATTTAACTATGATACTGTATACACTTGGTATAAACTGACAAATTAAGTAAACATGATACTTGGCATAAATATGGAAGTGACACTGAATTGCCACTGAAAAAGTGACACTGAGGATCTCGACTGCCTGCCATGGTTAATAGCTCTCTCGGTCTTCCTAACTAGATTATGATAATTGTCTTATCCTTTGAGGAGGGAAAAAAAAGGCTACTCAATACACCCAAATTAAGTATTCAGCACTGCATGCCTAACACTTGCATTAGATTACATGATAGCATGGCATGATTGCTCGTTGCATTCAAGACAAAACAATAATATAACTAAGAAACTCATACTAATAAATGCAACGCCTAGTCTCAAGTATCACGAATATTTTCTAAGGAAAACCAATCAAAGCTAGATCCTTTATTTCACGAACCAAATTCCACATACCAGATAAAGCATCAAGGTTGAGAGTGACTTTCAGACTATCATAAGATAGGCCATATTCATGGTACTGATTATGAGGGTAAAATCATACTATTATAATTTTCTCTACTACCAAAGTAATTAATTGACAAACGGAATCATAAAAATCCCACAATTATATATTACTACAGTTATTAAACAAACTTGAAATTCAAAAGAAAAAAAAAAACTTATAATTAGCAATCAATCCAAATACAACCTCGACTTTGCCTGCATGGTGATAGTCAAGCTCCTCCTTATACGAGGATGCAGAGGTCGACAAAGGATCTACGTCTGTATTGAGTTTTATGTCAATTTGTCGGGCTCAAAACGTCAACCTGATCAGGGAAAAGGTGAAGCGGCACCGACATGGCTGCAAGCTCAATAACTACGAAGAAGCCCCTTGGGATGCCTCGTCAAGACCCATCTAGCCTCCATCGCCAATTCACAAAAACTTATTGGCATAATAGCCAATATTCTGATCAACGAAAGGGTGACGAGAAACGGATATGGCTACAGACCAAATAGCTACTACATAGAAGTTATCGGGGATACCCCGCCAAGATCCAGCAAGCCTCTGTTGTCATTTTCTACCCATCTAAGGGTAGGCATATGTGCGCTAGCTGAGACCATAAAATTTGTCTATCATCGGTAGATTTTGGATAAAATGGAGGAGACAGTGAGAGACACTAAAAATTAACCTCACGAAGCCCAGAAAACAATCGGTGCCATGCATAAACAACTAATAGCTTTAACTGATAAGATATCAGTCGTCTATCATCCCTGATTATTTTAAGAAATCAATCGGCCCCGGACATGTTGCAAGTGTTTGTGGAAAGGGGGCTGGGATAGTTGTCAATTCAATAGTTTCCAAATGATTTTATTCGATTTAACAATATCTAAAATTTATTTTTCCAAGATGTAAATTATTTTGCCAATAAAGTAACTACAGAATAAATTTTTATGAACTGCACGTAATTTTTATTATTTTTTTTTGTTTTTGGACAACTCCATGTAATGTTAAAACGATGAACATAATCATGTAATTTGAATCACGTATATATTTTTTGGACCACTCTTGGCCCTTAACCGTGCAGGTGCAGCTGCCCCAAATTCCAAGTGTTCCTTCTTTCTCTACAACAAACATACCCACCAATTGGCAAGCATACATAGATGGGACTCTGGTCATCGGAGACGTTCTGAAACAGAAAAAAGTTCTGTCTCATTGCCCAAATAAAAATCAGTTTCGGCTTAAATACGCTAATGTTTCAAGTTGCCGTTGTCTTGTGTCTGTAATCTCAACTGATCGCACCCCAAATTCAACACATTTATCACATGACTAATTCCACTAGCTCCGAAGGCAACAAATTCTTCACTATCTGTTGGGCGCCTTGGTTACTTTGATTCTTTACTTTATTTTATTTTATTTTTTGGTACAATGAAGGGCTTAAAGGCCCATTAAAAAAAAGGAAACTGTGCGCGAAAATAACCTCCGTAGCATCAGCATAGTTAACAATAGTTAACATGACCTTTCTATAGTGGCATAAATGTGAACAAATCCCCATTAAAACGCCCGCTAGTTTTCTTTTTCTTGTCTCGATTTCTTCATTTCATGCTTCTGCAATGATGAGTTGCGCGATCATTGCGCCGTGATGAGTATGAGCCCATATGATACAGGCTTCTGCTTTGTATTCACACTACTCAATCTTCCCATTTATTTTTTCTTAAGAAACGATTAACGATTAATCATTAGGATTGCAATGATTAGGCTAAACATATCGATTGGAATGGGACTTCTATCACAACCCATTTATTTCTAGTATTTTAGATTATGGCTGGGCTTTTGCTCGCCCTTTTCCAACGCTGGAAATTTGCTATCTGCTCTGCTGGCGCCAAGATTTAAGAGCCACTCTCAATGGCGCTGTATAGGTAGCAGATTATCTAGTACTGTACTATTTTTTTTGGTTTTTTAATCCTCTGCACTCTAGAGATGCACGCAATAGAAAGAATAGTCGAATAAAAACTACTAAATAACATCGCAGCTAAAACATATCAAAATTAGTATTGGAAATTTGAAATTACTACTTGAGGTTATAGTTTTCACAAACACAAATTTCCCCGTTTGAAAGTTTCGATTAATCCAAAATGCAAAGCCACTCAATCAATCATTGCTTCACAAATCACAATCTCCAAAAGAGAGCAGTTTTGTTACCCAATTTCTGAACAAAAATAAATTTGGTACCCAAATTTTCAATATTTGAGCACATTTAGTATCCTTAATGATTTTTTTCCAAATTGCTACTTGTAAGAGTTGCGACTTGCGTGATAGTCAAATGTTCGATGAATATCACGTGACTCTTTCTAGTAGTATTTTGAAAAAAAAAATTGTCAAAGGTACTAAATGTGTTCAAATATTAAAAGTCTGGGTGCCAGAATTGTTTTTATCTAAAATTTGAGGATTAAAACTACTATATATTAAAATTTGGGTACCAAAATTGCAATTTTCTTGACTGCAATATCGGTTCCGTCCTCCCTCCCTCGGGGTGAGGTGTTCAAGATCCGGTTATTAGGCGGACCTCGGATTCGGTTTTTCGCCAATTTCCTCGGAGACAAGCCAACCGACCGACCAGGCTATGATTGTTGACGTCGGTGTCTCAGCGGAGCAGCATGACAGCAACTATATAATACACAAGAGCTAAGGGATAATATCGGAAACCTCCCCTGAGGTTTCTCTTAATATCATCTGATACTCCTAAGATTTTAAAAATATCATTTACCTCCCTTATTTTTGTTATTTGTGTAACAAAATTTTTAAAAATCCTAAACTACCCTTTCACGTGTTAAATAAAAATGTTCCTAAACCACTTTATTCACTTAAAATACAAATCACCTCAAAAGCAATCTCTTGTAGTACTACTACATCATAATTCTATACCCCATAAAAATATAAATTTAAAAAATAAAAATGATATTTGAAAAGAAATACACTTGCATTAATTTAATTCTATATGCTAAAAATTGATTTCCTATAAATTTATATTTTTTTCCAACGTCTTCTCAACCCTTTACTCAAACCATTAAACTATACCGATCATTATAAAAATCAACCAAAAACAAGCAAATAAATCATACCCCACTTTATCATAATCACAAAAAGTAAAAGATAAATAAAATTTAATTTATTATAATTTACAATAAAATATTGCATAGTCATCAAAAAAATATGAGTAAAAGAGAATGATGGAGAAAAGCCAAAAAGAAGAATGTGACTTTAGTTTCTTTTTTTTTTTTAATTTTTGAGTTTCATTTATTTGATATGTTGTGAATTATGTGTCAAATGAGGATTAATATAGTCGTTTTACAATTACTAGGGGAGGTACGTGATATTTCTAAAATCTTAGGAGTACTAAGTGATATTACGAGAAACCTCAAGGGAGGTTTCTTATATTATCCCAAGAACTAATTGAGAAGACGATATTAAATTGTACTACTAATAAGCAGATAAAATTGAAAAATAAAAATAAAAAAAAACTGCCTCCACTCCGCTTTACGTGTGTGAACTCCCTCCAGAGAAATAAATCATCATGGGAAAAAGAAAAAGAAAAACCAAAAGTACAATGATGTCCCAGTTCCAGTTCACACTTCACACTCGGCCCGTGCGCTATAAACACACAGAGCGACAGCAGTCGCACAATCTACAAAGATAAAAGAATAGTCGTCTGTCTCTGTCTTCATTCCTCCGCAACTACCTGTACGTTTCTTCCTCCTAATTCCGTTCATTATACAGCCTGCTCAAGTATTCTCCTCTTGTTCTCCTGCTCCCTCGGAAAACGTACGTGACCCCAGAATCCGCCCCTTAGGTATATGGTGCGAGTTCTCCTTCATATTTTGTTCAGTAATCGAGAATTGATCTTTGATTTTACGTTCTTTTCATTTATCTGTCTGTTTGTGTACTGATATTCTTTGTTACTGGGCTTGGAGGTTTATGTGACTTATCGGGATCATTTGTGCCTAATTGATACAACAAGTATTTGTCAATTAATTCTAGCTGTAGTTGATAGTTACAATGAGAATTTCTTGGTTTCTGCTAATACATCAGTACAGCAGGTGGAAAAAACTACCCAACACACCTCTTTCCACCAACTTTTCTTTCCCAAGACAGTGCGATTTTTTGTTTTGTCCTTGTTTGAATTGGTGCGCTGCTGAAGATAATTGCTAAGGAGTTAGATTAACTGAACCATGATCCTGTCACGCTTTGGATTCTCTAGACAGTTAAAGCCAATTAGTCTACCATCGGGTTGATAGTTACTATGAGAATTTCTTTCTGTTATATGCTTAAATAGCCAATGATAGAATCATCGAGACATCTCTTTGAGCATTTCTTTTTCTGGTTAATGATGATGTTCTTTACATTTATGTAGTAAAATGCAAAGGAGTTGATCAATTGGATAGTGTTAGACTTTGGAGTCTAAATGGAGCTGTTTTCTTTTCTAAATCTACATTTGTGGAGACCAGCGGCAATGATTTGGTTTGCCCAGCTACTGCTGCTGTTGCTGCTAGTGCAAGAGAATCGTACAGTAGTAGGGGCAACTTCCAATTATTTAATAGGGCTTGGAAGTTATGACATTACTGGTCCTGCTGCTGATGTTAATATGATGGGGTATGCCAACATGGATCAAACTGCATCTGGAGTTCACTTCAGACTGCGAGCTCGTGCATTTATTGTATCAGAACCACAGGGGAACTGCATCCTTTTTGTTAATCTTGATGCTTGTATGGCCTCCCAACTCGTGACTATTAAAGTTCTTGAGAGATTGAAGACGAGGTAATCATGACTTGCTTGTCGGCTTTAAGCAGATTAAGTTGCATACTATTGTTGTTTTGTTATCAATATGTGTAAGATAGTTTCTTTACATGTTACGTGGCTTGCTTGTATTCTTCACTTTTAAGGTGGCATAGCTGAGTAATCATTGCTGTTTCAGGTATGGAGATCTTTATACTGATAAGAATGTTGCTATTAGTGGTATACACACGCATGCTGGCCCTGGGGGTTATCTACAGTATGTTGTGTATATTGTGACATCCCTTGGGTTTGTACGTCAGTCATTTGATGCTCTTGTTGATGGCATTGAACAAAGTATCATACAAGCTCATGAAAATCTACGGCCTGGGTCAATATTTGTCAACACAGGTAGTGGGAGAAGCACAAATCCTCTTGATATTGCTATTTGGTCTAAGGAATCATTTTAGCCAGCAACCTAAGAAACTGTGGGAATGTAATGCCATATGATCTAGAGGTCTCCAAGGGAGATTGCAGACAAGAAAAATAAAATAAAATTTTGAGATCATTTCTTTCTATCATTGAATTTGATCAAGAAGATGCATGTAGTTAAGTTGGAGATAATTGCTTTTGCATATTTAAAAATTTTGGTATTTTTTTTTCTGATCTTACGTCTCCTTATATATGCTTCTGGCCTTGTTACTGAGCTGTTTCAAGTTCTACGTTACTGGGTGTCTTTCCATAGCTTTTACCTTGTCTATTTGCCTGAAAAACCTTCCGTATTAAGGATTTGCTACCAGAGGAATGGAATGATTGATAATTCAATGGTCACCAATCTTCTAGTTCGCTTAAAAACCTCAAAGCATGTGCTCTTTTTTCGGTGAACAAATTTGTGGTTTGGCTCTGATCAATGAATCCAGTAATAAGGATGATGTACCTTATGTTTGCTTTGGTCCTTTTACGTTTTCTGTTTTCGTTACCTAGTCTTTTTGGTATGTCCAGAGCTTTAATTTTTTTAACAAATATGAAAAGAATTAGATTGGAGGAGTAGTTTTCAGCAGATAACTTCATTTTATTTGTCACCAACCACCTGTAATATGATTCCTGCAATCTAAATTTGCTTTATTTATGCTGCTGCAACTTAGATTCCATAATCTGGAATGATGTGCAATCCTACACTTCAAATGTGGTAATCAAATCTTCCAGGGTCATGTTTAGGTGATAATGCTGATACTGAACCTCTTTTGTAATTCTGCTGCATTGCTCTTGACTTGCTTTTGCAACTTGATTAACTATTTTAAGGGCATTTGTTCTCCTGTATTCCATTTTTGCCGGTGCTTTTCACATTTTAGAGGATTATGCAAATGTTGGTTATTCTCTGTCTTTGAATTGTTTGTTGACATACATTCGTTTGTGCTAAGTGTCTTTTGCCAGAAGTTGATGCGCAGTTATCTCCACCTCAATAGTGTTATCGCTTGTTTTTTGTTTTCCATCTACAGGAGAACTTCTTGACGCTGGTGTCAATCGCAGTCCCAGTGCTTATCTTAATAATCCGACAGCAGAACGCAATAAATATAAGTATGACGTTGACAAAGAAATGACCCTTTTAAAGTTTGTGGATGATGAGTGGGGCCCAGTAGGTAGCTTCAATTGGTTTGCAACCCATGGAACATCTATGAGCCGTACAAATGGGTTGATAAGTGGTGACAATAAAGGGGCTGCTGCACGATTTATGGAAGACTGGTTTGATCAGACTAATGCTGGAAGCACATTCTCTAAGGCATCTGAATCTAGTGAAGTCCCTCGTAGAGTATCAAACATCATTCCGATAGTTCATGAAAAGCGTAAGCTATTGGCTATTTTTGTGTCTTCCTTTCTGTTATCATGGTTGTAAGCACTTACAATTGTATTGAAATCCTTACTCAAATTTGCTTTCAAGGTTATTAGAGTTGCTGACCTATTTTCAAATTGTTAATGCAGATCATGAATTGCTTGAGCTTGCTGCATCTTTCAAGTCTTCTCCGGGAAGGCCAGCAACCAAGTTTATGAGTATGGCTAGACGAGTGAGGAGTGCTCTAAGGCTGGCTGATAGGCCTAGATTTGTATCTGCATTTTGTCAAACCAACTGCGGTGACGTTAGTCCAAATGTTCTTGGCGCATTTTGCAGAGACACAGGATTGCCTTGTGACTTCAATCATAGTACCTGTGGTGGGAAGAACGAGTTGTGTTATGGCCGAGGCCCAGGGTAGTTATTTGGCTTTATTTTGTCTTTTTTATTTCTCAATAAGCTAAAAAATATGCATACCTTTGGTATTGAGTTTGATTGATAATCTAATGTATACTCAAATTACAGTTACCCAGATGAATTTGAGAGTACACGCATCATTGGGGAGAGACAATTCAAAAAAGCTGTCGATCTTTTCAATAAAGCATCAGAACAGTTGGCGGGGAAGGTTGATTATCGTCATACTTATCTGGACTTCTCAAAACTAGAGGTTACAATACCAAAACAGGGAGGTGGTACTGAAGTAGTTAAAACCTGCCCTGCTGCTATGGGCTTTGCCTTTGCTGCTGGTACAACTGATGGCCCTGGAGCTTTTGACTTTAAGCAAGGAGATAGCCAGGTATTACATTTGGCTACATAGAGAGCCATAACTTATGGTTTCCTTGCATTCAATGTTCAGACTTTGCTTAGTCAGTGTGTTTTCTCTCCTCCCCTCTCTCTCTCTCTCTCTCTCTCTCTCACATACATGAAATGTGCTTTCAGGGGAATGCTTTTTGGAAATTGGTGCGTGACCTGCTTAAAACTCCAGATAAGGAACAAGTAGACTGTCAACAACCAAAACCGATTCTGCTAGATACTGGTGAAATGAAGGAGCCTTATGATTGGGCTGTGAGTTTCTAGCCCATAGTAACTTTCCTGCCAAAAATTAAAAAAGAAGAAATGAAAATACAAAAAGGAAAAAGAGATAAAGAAGATGAACTATTATTGTTATTGATTTAATTTGACTTTCCTACAAGAAACGGATTCTCTTCTGTAAAAGTCATGCTAACTGCAGAGCTTCTTAAATTTTTGTTTAATTTTCTGGAGAATAACATTTCAGCCTTTTGTGGGAAAAGGATGGTTGACTGGGACTCTTATTTTGAGAGTTAGTCATACTTTACGCATGAAATTATTTTGGGAACATTATCCCATCTGTGTGCAATTATGGACAAGAGTTCTAATGTTTTCGCTCTTTCAATTGTGATATTACAGCCTTCAATACTTCCAATCCAGATCCTAAGGATAGGGCAGTTGGTCATTCTCACTGTGCCTGGAGGTATTGGCTTTTCTTTTTATTCCCTGTCATGTAACTTAAAAGACTTCATTATTCTTTTTCTTCCCCAAATTGTAAGATGTGAAATTCTGATTGGAGTCCTGAAATATGTAGAGTTTAGTTCCTATCCACATGCTTTTATGTGGCTGATTAAAATGGATAACATGCAGACAGTCTTTTGCCATTCATTTCGCAATTTTATTTTATTTTATTTTTTGACTATTAGATATGTCGATGACTGACATCTACATGTTGATATGACATATTGTGAACACAGATGTCTAAAAACTGATGAATTTAGAAATAAACCTATGTCGCCCTAAGCTTCAGATTTGAGACTTTGTGAAATAGAAAGCATAGTTAATTTTACAAAGCAGATTTTAATATGAAATAATATATGTAAGATGATTATTCAGAAGTTATTGATGGGATTTACTTCAAGCAATTTAAATACCCATCTAGGGCCTTGTTTCCTTTGCTGCAATTAGGGCCAATCAACTGTTATTATGCAACAAGATGTGTTTCCTGGTTTTAAAATGATGAGGTCAACTTTCTTTTATCTAGCTCCATTTGGACCCATGATTAATGCAGTTGTCGTATTCTCTTGAAAGTACCGTTGTGAAGTACATTGATACGGGTTAATATGGGTTCACAATAGCAACTGTATCAGCAATTTTAGTGTCTTTTTACTTGAAACCTAGCTATCATGCTTTGTATCATAAGCACTAAAGTTTAATGGCTTCATGAGGTTAATGTCTTCGGTCTGTTCTTCATGTTTGCATTTGATGCAGAATTCACAACTATGTCTGGGAGACGGCTCCGTGATACTGTGAAGGCAGTGCTTACTTCAAGTACTGGACAGTTTAATGGAAATGTGCATGTTGTAATAGCTGGGCTAAGTAACACATATTCTCAATATATTACCACCTTTGAGGAGTACGAGATACAGAGATACGAGGTAAGTGAACTTGTCATGCTACATGCTTATGTTTTGGTTGTTAGGCAGGGTTTTTTTTGTTGGGGGAGAGGGATGGGGTAGTTTGGGTTTCATGATTCTATTTTATTCTGTCTCAAAGCATGTTACCTGGAGAAACAGCTGCTCTTGAAACATATTGGAAGATCATATAAGTTGGTTGAAATGCTGTTGTTGCCAAAAGTATACGCTCACTATAAAGTGTTTCTTTAAACGTATGTATCTTGTTTTCTGAGTAGATTTGGTAGTATATCATATCTCTTCGAGATTCATCATGCTCTTCCACAACAGTGGTAGATTTAGATGCTTGGGCCACAAAAACGTTGCAACTTGTTCTGTGTATTGGCACCTGTAATCTAATTAATCAAGTTGTTTAAGCCGCACCCTGTACTTTAAACTTCTTATAACGGAGCAAACGGTACGGAAGGTAACGCTAGTAACAGCATACTGCATTATCATTAAAGCATTTTAGCAATTTATACTGGATTTCTCTTCTCAGGGTGCCTCCACACTTTTTGGTCCGCATACCCTCAGTGCGTACATACAGGAGTTCAAGAAGCTGGCAACAGCCCTAGCAAGTGGACAACCTGTTCAACAAGGCCCACAACCACCAGATCTTCTAGACAAGCAAATAAGCCTTTTAGCGCCAGTTGTGTTGGATGCAACTCCCATAGGCAAAAAATTTGGGGATGTCTGCAAAGATGTACCTAAGAACTCCACCTTCAAGAGAGGTGACACAGTAACTGTTGTTTTCTGGTCCGCATGCCCCCGAAATGACCTCATGACTGAAGGTACATTTGCTCTTGTGGAGGTTCTCCAAGGGAAGGATGCTTGGATTCCTGTTTACGATGATGATGACTTTTGCCTCCGGTTTATATGGTCAAGACCTTCTAAATTTAGCGCTCGAAGTCAGGCGACTTTGGAGTGGAGAATACCAGAAACAGCTGCTGCAGGTGTCTATAGAATAAGACATTTTGGTGCTGCTAAGAGTCTTCTGGGGTCAATCAAGCATTTCACCGGTTCATCCAGTGCTTTTGTGGTGGCCTGAGAATCCTCCATTTGGGTATATAGATTATAAGGTGATCAGATGTTTGTGCTTTGTGCACTTTGTCAGGTATGAGCTTTAACCTGAGGAAACATTCTCAGAAACAAAGAGTGTTTGCTACCTCTTTTGGTCGACAAATTTCAGAGAGGCTCCTCGGAATTTGCCCTTTGCATATTTGTAGCTCCAAGCTCATGTATCATTTAACTTTTTTTTTTTTTTTAATCAGTAACATACATTTGTATAACCTATTCTATCCTAATCTAGGGAGAGGGAGTGCCTTAGGTGACTCTAAAACTTCTTTTGTTGAAAAATGCAACCAGTTTGTTTTTGGGATAATTTCAGAAACCTCCCCTGAGGTTTCTGACATTTACACTTACCTCCCCTGTGGTTTGAACAATTACACTGACCTCCCCTGAGGTTACTAATCCTTTACAAATTCAGTCCAAATGATTAAAATATTATTTTAGAGAGTGAAATTAGAATTTTATACCTGATTTGTCCTTTGTGCCACATGTCCAATGAATGGCAAAGTATTACAAATTAATTAACAATTAATAAATTTTAACGAGCGTAGTTTATAGGCAAATATGTATTGCCTATTTAAAGTACCAGCTCTTTACATGAATTTTATTTTCAAACATTTACTTTATCACAAATATTTATTCTCAAATACTGATTTGTATTTACTCTCAAATATTTAATTTTTGTTAAACACAAAACCTACCAGTTTTTCTTCCGTAGAAATATTAATATAACACTTTTTCAATTTTAGTTATAAATATTTATGTATTTAACATAAATTAAATAATTTAGGATAAAATATCCATAAAAAGCCAATACTTTACTCATGTGATGGATAAAAGTCATAAAAAATTAATAGTTTATGAGGCCATTTATTTTTTTAAAAATATTTAATTTATATTAAATAGATAACCTACTGATTTTTTTTGCAAGAATATTACTTTAACACTTTTTAATTTTTAATTACAAATGTTAATATATTTATCATAAATTAAATATTTGAAAATAAAATATCTGTAAAGAGCCGATACTTTAAATAGGATATGCGTAGTTGCCTATAAACTACACTATTTAAAGTAAGGAGTATAGTTTATTGATTTAAGTTAAGGAGTGTAATTTATTGATTTAAGTAAGGAGTGTAGTTTATAGGCAAACACGCATAACTTATTTAAAGTACCGGCTTTTTACAGGTATTTTATTTTTAAATTTTTAATTTACAATAAATATATCAATATTTATAGTTAAAAATTAAAAGGTGTTACAATAATATTCTTGTAAAAAGAAAATCGATAGGTTATCTATTTAATATAAATTAAAATTTTTAAAAAAAGAAATGGCCTATAAAATGTTAATTTTTTATGACTTTCATCCATTACATGAGTAAAGTATTAGCTCTTTATGAGTATTTTATTCTGAATCATTTAATTTATGTTAAATACATAAATATTTGTAATTGAAATTGAAAAAATGTTATATTAATATTTCTACGGAAGAAAAATTGGTAGGTTTTGTATTTAACAAAAATTAAATATTTGAGAGTAAATACAAATCTGTATTTGAGAATAAATATTTGTGATAAAGTAAGTGTTTGAAAGTAAAATACATGTAAAGAGCTGGTACTTTAAATAGGCAATACGTATTTGCCTATAAACTACACTCATTAAAGTTTATTAATTGTTAATTAATTTGTAATACTTTGCCATTCATTGGACATGTGGCACAAAGGACAAATCAGGTATAAATTTCTAATTTCACTCTCTAAAATAATATTTTAATCATTTGGACTGAATTTGTAAAGGATTAGTAACCTTAGGGGAGGTCAGTGTAATTGTTCAAACCACAAGGGAGGTAAGTGTAAATGTCAGAAACCTCAGGGGAGGTTTCTGAAATTATCCCTTTTTTTTTTGGGGGGTGGGGGTGGGTACACTCTATATATAAATATTTAGCAAGCACATCTTCAAAAAAGTTGTTTTATTTTTTTGGTACACAAAAATGCAGTAATTATTTTGAAGTCACTTGGGCCTTCAGCCCTCTTAAGTCGATAAACAAACAGAAACAAAGAAGCGACAGCGTTCCAAAACATCGCGTTGTTTTATTTTACTTTCATTATTTTTCTTGAAAAACACAAATTCGACAAGCGAAAGGGAAATTAAAGTGGGGACGCCAGGAGAAACGACATCGTAAAACGCCACCATCGGCATTACTGGTGGCGCCACTGTAGGTCTCTCACTGGAAGAGCCCCTATACATCATATACGAGAGCACAACTCAAAGAAAATAAAAAAACAGCAAGAGCTGGAGCTAGCAAAGCAAAACTAATAGAGAGGAAAAAGGCAGTTTTTTCTCCAAAAGAAAAAAAAAAAGGAGAAGAAGAAGAAATGTCAGTGCAAGAATATTTGGATAAGCACGCGCTCTCCCGGAAAATAGAAGACGCCGTCAATGCCGCCGTTAGGGCCAAAACTCCCGATCCAGTCCTCTTCATCGTACGTCTTCAATGCTTATGGTATTTGTTTAATTAGCTTTTCAAATGATATGCTTTATTATGTATATATATACTTATTTGGTGATTATGTGACAGTCGAATCATATGAAGAAATCGGTGCCTTCGATGATTACGAAAGTGAAAGCTCGACAAATTCTCGATAGCAGAGGTATTCCAACGGTTGAAGTTGATTTATACACCAATAAAGGCATGTTTCGTGCTTCTGCACCCAGTGGAGCTTCCTCCGGAATGTAGGTCCTTTTCCTTAATGCTTACAGAAATACTAGTCTGTTGCAGTAGTTAATCTGAGTGTAAATGCTTTGCAATGGAATTTGCAGCACCGCCACACTTGACATCCCAAGCTTTTGATAATAATATCTGATTATATTCCATCTATCGGTTGACGTATTTCTGAACTCAGAAATCAATTCTGAATGAGTGTTGTTGTATTGATTTCCTGACTCTAGGTATGAGGCTATTGAATTACGTGATGGAGATAAGGGAACGTATCTTGGAAATGGTGTGAGCAGGGCTGTTAGAAATGTCAATGAGAAAATATCTGAAGCTTTGATTGGTATGGATCCTACTCTTCAGTCTCAAATTGATCAAGCCATGATAGACTTGGACAGGACAGAGAAGAAGGTAGCTTTTCCATTCTCTGAAGTGTTTTGTCAGAATTTTGTTCATTGTTATCAACCAAATAAAACAAAATAAAATACTGATCGTTTGTTTTGCACTGTAGACCTTGTATGACTTTGGATGATGCTGTATACATCATATCTATTCAAGCCATTTCATTTAATTGTTTACACTCTAGCACAAGATGTCATCCTAGGATGAACTGCGCTGAGGTGTTGGGCAGTAGTATCCAAAACCTTGATAACTTTTGAGGTGTTAGGCCATAGCACCTGAAACCCTATAATCTCTTGTTTAGGGCTTGCAATTAGTGACCCTGAAGCAGGCACTGTTGTTTGTTAGCCTTATAATCCAATTATAAGTTGCGAATCTGTCACCTTCTGCATCTCTAGGTAGTTTGTGGTGCAACTTCAAGGTGGATTGATACATCCAAATTTTCTTGGTTTGCATGAAAGATAATGATATCAATGCTTCCTTATAGAATTGTGGCCCATTAATGCCAGCTTAAATTAGATTGCACTTATCCAGTAGTAATCTTTTATTTTTAATTTTTGTTTTGTTGTAAGCAAATCTTTTAATTAGCTAATAGGAAATTGATATTCACAAGAACTTGAGTTGACACAAAAACACAAGTCCTCGAATTTCTGTTTCATCTTCCTAGTAGTTTGATGGCACGGATAAGTCAGAACTTGATCATCATCTATTTTTGTGTCTAACAGAGAGAAAGGTGTCTCTTAATCATAATCTATTTTTATGTTTAAGGAAAAGAAAATATCTCTATATCATTGTGTCTGTTTGCTATAACATACAACTGATTCCTTGCCTGCCTGCATATTTGTCTAACCTTTGCATGTTCCTTGTCATACATCAGGAAAGTCAATTAGTTTTCACAAGGCCTCTGCTCCATTTCAGTAATTTATTCCTACCTCTAAGAGAAAGTGCTTTTTGGGAATTCTTTTTTCAAGTAATTATTTTCTTTGTCTGGCATATTTATCTCTTTTCCTGAATGATTTGGAAATTTAGTCTTCTTTTTCACAATTTGGTGTTGCAGAGTGAGCTTGGAGCAAATGCAATTTTAGCAGTATCCATGGCTGCTTGCAAAGCTGGTGCAGCCGAAAAGGAGGCATGTGAATGCTCTTTTTGGCATTTGGTTTTCACTTAAACTAAACTAGAAGCGATTTATCTGCTACGTGTGATAATTTTTACTTGCAGGTTCCACTGTACAAACACATTGCAGTTCTTTCGGGCAATACAAATCTTAGTCTTCCTATTCCTGCTTTCACTCTTATAAGTGGTGGAAAATATGCTGCAAATTTTTTGCCTGTTAAGGTAAGCTGTGCTTAGCTCCAATTACCTATCTTATCAAGCTTGTTGGTTCCTGTGATTGATTTCCTGTTTACACCTTCTGCAACATTTCATTGGCTACACGTGGTTGCTTCTTTCAAACCTTTTCTTAAGGTTCTTTTTTTTTTTCAACTCTGTGAATTTGCATGTTAATTTAAAGTTTATATTTCTTGATGTTATCTGATGATTGGCTTGAAATTTGTCAGCAAATTATGATTCTTCCAATTGGAGCTAGACAGTTTGAGGAGGCACTGCAAATGGGCTCTGAGACTTATCATCATCTAAAGGTAATTTACCCTTTTGTTGTTAGCTTGTGGCTGCAAGAATATATTTTGCAACTGCAGAAAAGATATTGAGACTCCAAATTGTCTTTGTGCAAAGAGTGACTAATTAAGAATTTGGAACTCTGTTAAATGGTCCACTATCACTATCATAATCTGGGGAAGTGGATACTCCTGTCCTTGGGACTCCTAGGACAAGTATTTGAACAAAGTGACATGAGACTGTTCTTAAGCCTAGAACTTGACCTCTGCCATCGAAGGATGCCTTGACAAGCAGCTAGGTAAATGTTGAGAAGTTTAACTCTTAATGGTAGGCTTTGGCCTCCTTGCCCATAAATGTGAACTTTTTAAAATGGAAATTGTTATTGGCACTCCATATTTGTTATGACACTTTCTTGACCTTTTTTAATTACGCAAAAAGTTGTATGTAACCCTATTGTAATTGCAATTACAAACTATATAGTATTTGGAATGTGATATA